TATCCCAACAGACTAAAGGCTGTAATTAATGCAAAAGGTGGTTCAACAAAATACTGACACAAGGGGGTGATCATTTTTCCGTGATTGTGGTTTTTAATTTTTTTCTGACATGTTGGTGTTATATCTTTCACTTGGATATTGCGTAAATACAGCTGGATAAAACAAAAACTGTGTCCATCTTCATTTCAGGCTTCAAAGCAACAAAATGTGATTATTTTAAAGGGGAGTAATTCTTTTCTATACCCACTATATAGTGAAAAACACAACAAAATGAACTAAAATCATTGATCATTTCTGTTCTCTTCTGCTTGTTTTTCTTTCTCACATTTTGGTTCTGGTCACCCAGGTTGAGGAAACCTCACGAGAACGAGAAGAGAGACTGAAAACCTGGTCCTCTTTCCTGAGTGATGAGAGTGCATCTGCCAAAGCTAAAGCAGACTCTTCAAAAGCAGCTGAACAACAAAATTCCAGCACACAAGAAACAGCAGAACAGACTCGACAGGAGGAACATACAAACGAAAGCACTGCAAAACCGCAAGAGGGGAAAGATGAGAAGGAGCACGACGAGGTAGAGGAAGGAGGAGTAGTGTCGACCGATAGCAGTTTAGCAGGAAGTGATAATGAGGATGCGTAGGACTTGTTTAATGTGTCTTGCTAAAACATCTTCATACTAATATACAATGTTTCCTTTTAATTGTTTATTCCCATGACATGTAAGGACAATAATGGAAATTTGACTGTAAATAGTCATTTGTGTGATTTTATGCTAATGTGTGTCATTGTCTGAATCAATTTGAACATCTGTTAATAGTTTTATAGTAAAAAAAAATTTGTGACCGCATCATTGTTTCTTGCTTTCATGAAAAAGATGTTTATTAGTAGCTTCCCTCACTAACAAGATCTTTGGTTTATTAGGGAACAAAACAACAAGCAGTTTCCTTAAGGGTAGTTACATGTAAGCCTAATGACAGCTGTGATTTTATCTGTTTGAGAGACCTTGTTCAACTCGCTCGGGTGCATTTTTCAGTGCACATGTAAAGAAGAGCACCTCCTGCACTTAGTATCATATTCGTTTTGTTTTAGTATGATCGGTGGCTGAATGTTGGCTGGATTCAGTTCGGTAAGCAGTTTGGTGTTTTGATTTATTTTTGAATGCAATTAAAGTCCTGTTTCAATTTGAGAAAGGAGTGCTTAAAGTGTAAGTAGGAACTGTATAACTTGTTCCCATTTAGAAGTGTGGATTTAAAAAAAAAAAAAAAAAAAGCTTTTACCTATGTTTTTTAAAATGTATCTTTATTTCTAAATAAGAGCTTATTTATATAAAATAATTTCGTTTTTCCATCTCAAGGATTTTGTATAGCCAGTTTTAACCAGTTGGATAAAATTAATCTTTTAAGCATTTTTGATGGCTGAGGTTTAAATATGCTATCAAATAAATAATGTTTAAATATTAATAAATGGCATTGTACCATCTCAAGCTACATTCATAAACTGTAATATACACTACTTTTTAAACATTTGAGGTTGGTAAGATTTGTTTAATATCGTTGAAAGAAGTCTCTTATGCTCACCAAGGCTACAACCATTTTGAAATATAAACAATATAATTTAAAATAAGAGTTTTCTATTGTAATATATTTGAAAATATAGATTATTCCTGTGAATTTTCAGCAGTCATTTTCTTGAATCTTCAGTGTAACATGATCCTTCAGAAATCATTCTAATACTCAGATTTGGTGCTTAAGAAAGATTTCTTACTGTTATTAATATTGAAAACAATTGTGCTGCTTAATATTTTTGTGGAAACCAATATTTTTACAGTTTAACATGACAATCCTTGCACTCAAGGTAATGAAATTACAAAATGCTTGAAAAAATGGTTTAGTTTGTAATTGTATTAGGGGTTATGTTGTAAGATACATAAGATAAAGTGTTAATGAGAACTCTTTAACGTCCTTAGAGAGTTCACTCCTTGAAAGAATGGTGTAATGACAGTGTTTCCTATTTTATTTATTTTAACATATAGAATAGTAAAGTTGTCACCTTGGAATTATAAGGTTCTATCTGCATTCTGATCAGTTTCGAGATATTGAGCTTCAAAGTTTTTGCATTCCATATGGTGATATGGGGAACAAGTCTCTTTCATACATCAGTCCCAAAATGTACACAACTTAAAAAAAAAAAAACATCACATAATGTAAATAAGTTGTCACAGAATAAGAATATGTGAATAACTCAATTTTGACAAAAATGTCAGATAGAACCTTATAATTCCAAGGTGATGAATTGCTTTTCAATGTAAAATGCTAGATAGATTTCATTGTTAAATCTTGTTTACACATTTAAATAGGGGACCCAAATGGAACCTGTTTTGTAAAACAATCCATCTATGTTGTATTCCTAAATCAGGATGATGGAGAACAGAGTGTTAAAGCGCTCCGAGGACTGTAAAGATCCTCCCCAGCTCTTTACATACTATCAAGGCGACATCAACACTGCAGTGGATGAGCACTTTTTCCGTGCCCTGAATAAAGCAACCACACCAAAAGACCTCAGTACTAAAGCTAAGGACAGCAGTAGGACTCCCAAATCTGGTGCGTTAATCTGTCTATATCTATCTATCTATCTATCTATCTATCTATCTGTCTGTCTGTCTAATGCATTTCTTATCCCAGATGTACCATCATCATCATGGGCTTCTTCTGGTCTAACATGGACTAAGTCCACACACTCTTCCGGTTCCTCAAAGCTGACCCAATTGACATCCATGGAACCTACACCTCCATCCCAGGGAGTTATTGTGAATCCCTCAGTACTATCATCATCATCGTCATCCCTCTGGCCATGTCCATCCAGACAGGGCACAGCCTTCGAACTGCCTCAAATACTCTACCAACAGCCCATGGCTGCTGAGAGCAGTGCCAACTCTTACCTGAACCTGTTACAAATGGATCGGCCAACAGGGGGCATCATGATCTCGCCCTTCTCAAAATCAGATACCAGACCAGAGTGGAATTCTGGGACGGCCTTTAAGGATGGAGGCAGGATCGGCCTAGATTCAGGTACTTATGCCATTGCTAACTGTTTGCTCACAAAATAATATAATGCAAGAGCACAGGAAATCAATTCTTAAGTAAGGAATAATGAACAGTCAGCTAGTAATTATTGCTATAGCCTATGGTATTGTAATTATAATGCTATGGTCGGCTACTCAAATAAATGCAATAAATACGCACACTATTTATACTACAAAATGGCATAGAATAGTGCAAATTACACAAATTGGGATGCACCTTAGGTGCTTCTTTTGAATAATTAATTACTTTGTGACTGTTCAAAAATAGTAGTATGTGGTAATAATAGTATGAGTTCATCTATTTAAAGGCATAAGTTCACCCAAAAATGAACATTCTGTTACCGTTTACTCATCCTCAAGTTATTCTAAACCTGTATGAGTTTCTTTCTTCTGTTGAACATAAAAGAATATATTTTGAAGAATGTGGGTGACCAAAAGGGTGGCTGGTCCCCATTGATTTCTATAGTATGGAGAAAAAAAATTCTGTGGTCAGTGGGGACCAAAAACTGTTTAGTTACCCCATAGGCGGAGGGTGAACCAACTCCAGGGTAAGGCTAAAAGCAGCCAAATGTATTAAACATCATAAAAACCGACATCATCAAACCCGTCTTTTTAGTCAAGAACCAGACATGGGTGTCATGTAGGCTAACATTATATAACGTTTCCTTTCCACTGTTATTCAAAAAGCGAATAAATTATATATAGAAAGTGACATTATCACTAACATTGATCTATCGCGAGTTTAAGCACTCTCAAAAAACAAAACTATCGTTATAATCACTGAAGCTGTATACACTGTTAAATGAATCTCTTACTTACATTGTACGTACATCTGTGCTTTGTTGTTTATAATGAGAGAATTCGCAGTCCGGAATTCAGTCAGCGAACATGCGTGCGAGTTTGAACGATGACTCATCTGAACGCTTCTGATTGGCCATTGCATTCCTAAGCTCAACAGATATGTGTGTGATTGGTTAAAATGCGCAACACTGTAAAAACGCCTAAAATGAAATACGGTGCAACATGAGCAGATCTTAATTTAATGCCACAATCGACACTGTCTATTCATATTCATTTTGTTAGCAACAGACGTAATAGATTTAATTTGTTTGTGCAGGGGCATTTTTGTCCAATTTAGTGGCATTTTTGCCCAAAGTCAAAAGTCAGAAGGCTAAGCCTTCCCCAGCCTTACACAGCTCCGCCTTTGAGTTACCCACATTTTTCAAAATATCTTCTTTTGTGTTCAGTAGAAGAAATTAATTCATACAGGTTTGGAACAACTTGAGGGTAAATAATTACAGAATTTTCATTTTTTGGGTGTAGTATCCCTTTAAGCCAAGTACATTTGGGTACTTTTCGTCTACTGTTTTATGAATGCTGTGAATTGGTACATTCTATTCTTTTCACGTACTGATTTCGTCTAATGTAGAGTAGGGAAGTATGCATATTCGGAATGTAGACTTAATTGCAGTACATAAAGGAAGGGCTTGTTTATGTGGTGATAAATTATTTATTTGTGATCATCTTGTGTTTTTCAGGTGTGCCTGTCTAAACAAGAATGAAACATATAAGTTGCTAAACAAGCCAAAATGAATTAGGCTAATTCAATGCGAAACTGAAAGCAAACGGCGTTCTCGCGCAGCCTACCTCTCTATGCATATTCGGAATGTAGACTTAATTGCAGTACATAAAGGAAGGGCTTGTTTATGTGGTGATAAATTATTTATTTGTGATCATCTTGTGTTTTTCAGGTGTGCCTGTCTCAGAAATACCTAAGGATTTGTACTGGTATTGAAGAAGCGATTTCTGACTCTATGATCAAAAATATATTTTCAGCACAAGACTGACTGTGTTTACATTATTATGTAAGCTTAAGAATTCTGTGCTTTTGGACATCTGGCATAGTGACTCAAACCATTATATTTATGGTATCAGACATTCCTCAGGGATAAATGGCAGTTAATTGTTTATTTTAGCCGTGAGCATGTGAAGAATCTTGTAGTAGGACATAAGAGAATACCTGATTGAAAATAATTCAATTCTCTTAGCTATTTAATGGGTGAATGAGGAAGTAAAGTCTATTTGTATGATTTGTAATACAATTATAGTTTTACCAAACTTTCTTTGTGTATAGTATTCCGTGTTTTGAAAGTTAATATTATTACTATAGACCATAATTTTTGTAATGCAAAAACTATAGTCATTTGTCAGCAAATATATTCAGTATAGTTACTTTTAAATTAAACTTTCTCTCTGAAAAGTTCCCCATACATTGGGGGATGAAAAAAAACAACAACTTCAAAACCTCATAAACAAGTTGTCAACTCTCTAGATCAGGTTACACAGAAGGCCAAGTAAAGCTGATGCAATGGCAAAATTGAACTGACATGAGCAAACCAAAAATAAATTTCTTTTAAGTTGTACAAATGTTATTGGACTTCATCTTTACGAACCTGTTTGCAAAACCTGCTTTACACTTTTTCCCTCAAGCAGTGATGTATTTCCCTGTCACAAGCCCTCACTTTTGATGTATGAGTATGACAAAACAGCTAAAGGCTTTGCACAATTATGATGAATTTCCTCAATTATTTTCAAGAATAGTATAAAGAAGTCTATTTTCAGTATGAACAGACAGGTGACCTGTTTAATAAATCCTACAAGAAAATTGTCCTTTTGTTCATACTTTACACATTTAGACATTTGATTTTCAGCAGGTCTGCAGTTATAAATGTAAATTTTTATTTTTGTGTGTTTTTATTTATCCATCTTATTCTTCCTGTAAGAACGGGCGCGGCCATTTGTAAATTGTATGGGTCTGGCTTCTGGTGTCATTCGCTTCCAGGTACAAAACAGCTCGTTTTGCTGCTTGATATTGCAAATTGGTGTGTCTTACCATATTATTTTAATGTATTATCTTTATTATGAACACACTGGTTTGTAGGGCAAAGAGTTTTACCGTTTACTGCATGTTGTTATTCTTCTCGTTATTTCCCTACAGCGGCTAATGAACCGGAAATCTCGCAAATTCCCTGAAAACGGCTTACTTCCGCATTAAAGAATAAGGTGGATAGAAATGTGTTTCTCGTTATATCCCTACAGCGGCTAATGAACCGGAAGTCTCGCACATTCACAGAAAATGGCTTACTTTCGCATTGAAAAATAAGGTGGATACTTCATATTAATTAAATTTTTATTTCCCTTCCTTGACAGTCTGTTGTTCATTGGTATGTTAGGTTTAGCTTTTTACCTTGTTTTAAAAGACCATTACAAAAATATAAAGAAAAAAGTCTGCATTCTGTACACTCTAAAAAATGCTGGGTTAAATATAACCCAGCGCTCTTCTGCTCAAAGCATAGATTTGCATTTAAAGGAGACATTTCTTTGAGGATAAAGACTCAACTATACATCAAGACTGCCCACACATTTCTGCAAACTAACGTCACGTGCCTCTGTTTCAAAGTTCAGAAGTGAGAGACAATGTCTGCTGAGCAACGGTGCCAAAGGGGGATTTGTCTCCCATTTCCTTTGGCTGCCCACAAACCTTAAAGCGGCATAGCCTAACTATGCACAGAGAGCCACTAAATGCAACTTCTGCAAATTTTCCCAAAAAATTTAGCAAAATGATAAATAATTTATCTTAGGTCAGCATATTAATAGCTTTAAATATACTGAAACATACTAGATAGAGGTAAGTTGTCCTGTGTTTTAAATTACAACTAAATATAAAATAAATACATTATATTTCTTAAGAAATAACAATTTAATATTTGTATTTTTATTATAATAATTGAATATAAATTTAATAATTACAATATATGTTTGCCTGATTGCTGCATGTTGTTTCTTCAGGTGCTTTTGTCTTTCCCATCTTCCTCTCACATCCCTAGAGTGTATTTGTGAATGAAGATAAGATTTGAGATGTTCTCAGAGCATTTACCCTAGTAGTCCAATAAAGATTTAAATGAAAGCTAAATTAAAAGATGGTTTTCATTTGGTTAAACTGTTAGCAGTGATCTCAAGCATGCTATACTGGAAGCTTCTGTTTGTATTTAACAAGCATTAAAACAACTTTCTTAACCCATTTTACTTCCGTAATTTGACATCACTCGAAGTCTGAGTGAAAAGGGATATTCAGTGTGCAGGCCAATGTAATTATGAACACAGGAACTTGGATTAAGAAAGTAAATACAGGGTCAGTTTTATGGTTGACTGAATAATGTGGAATGCACTTCTCATCTGTAGATCACAGCAAAAAGTAGTACATTATGGACCAGATGGTAGAACTTGTCATTTCAGCAAGCTCACTATTCGATTACTGATGCCTTGGCACATTTTAAGTTCTCTCCCATCTGCCCTAATTTTCCTGTTCTCTTGTGAAGTAAATAAATCAGGTTGATGCCAAAACACGAGGACAACAGGGGCACATTCAGTCTAAATCTGTCATGTGTGATATTCTGCACATTTGAGGAACAACCATGAGAAACAATATGCACACCCACTTTGTTGCAGTTATTTACTTGCTGAACAGACTGAAGAAACAGTCAATGTGGAATGTGAAAATGTTAACACAAAAAAGGAAGAACCAAATGGAAGGGTGTCCAAATGTTACATTTCTTTTACTGTTATATATTTTCAAACTGTTTAATTCAGCAAACAATCAGTGCAGTTAAAATAGTTTTCCTCTAATAACCAGCGCTTTCTTCCACCCTCAATACCACGACTGAGGTGAGACCCTTGAGCAAGGCACCGAACCCCCAACTGCTCCCTGGGCGCCGCAGCACACGGCTGCCCACTGCTCAGGGTGTGTGTGTACTGTGTGTGTGCACTTGGATGGGTTAAATGCAGAGCACAAATTCCATGCTTGGCCACACATCACTTTGTATTCATCTGAAAGGAGAAAGTCATATACACCTAGGATGGGTCGAGGGCATGTAAATCATGTTTTTTTTTTTGTTTTTTTTTTGATAATGTAAATGTTCTTTCCTGTCTTTCTGTACCATGAAAGTGTTATAATTAGTAACTTAGAACCCCCAACTGCTCCCTGGGCGCCGCAGCACACAGCTGCCCACTGCTCAGGGTGTGTGTGTACTGTGTGTGTGCACTTGGATGGATTAAATGCAGAGCACAAATTCCGAATATGGGTCACCATACTTGGCCACACGTCACTTCACTAATAAATGGACTTTGGAGCCACATAGTTCCAATCACCAGACATGTCTGAAACCTCTGGAGATTTGTGAGACATTCTCATATGTCAGTCTTTATTAATAGTTCTTTTCTAGACAGAAATCAAAAGACCCTCCACCTCATTAAATGGCATATGGGTATATGGGTTTTGTGGCAAGCTATTTTCATTTTATTCCTTTAACTAATAACTACTTTTATATCACTAATATTTATTTTTAAATATTTAATAAAATACAGACTAGTTATTTTATTTTCACTGACTAAAACTAAATATTCTGATAGTTACTATGTAATATTACAGGTAGAGGAAGTTATTGTTATGCACGACTAGTATTTTGGCCAGAAACGACAGTTTAAAGGCAAATGATATGCATGTAATATTAGAAAACCTACTTTATAGTTCAATTACAAAAAAAAGTTTATATTCAAAATGAAATTCAAAATGAAATTCAACTATAAAAGACCAAGTAGTCACTACTGAATTTTTACTAATAATTAAAACAATATGATATAATTAGGGCTGGGTTTTGATACAAATTTTACGATTCGATTCGATTCTCATTCACAAGCTTGCGATTCGATATCGATTATTTTGAATATATATCAGGTACAGTACATGCCAAATTTCCTTAAGAAAAAAAAATCTCTCAACTAATGCTGTAAAACAGGGGCGTAGCCATCATTTCAGAAGTGAGGGGAACAGAAATGTTTTATATATATATATATATATATATAAAACATTTCTGTCCCCCTCACTTCTGAAATGATGGCTACGCCCCTG